ATAGCAGACTCCAGCCTCGACTGCCTTTGAAAAGACAGGTCTCGGGGTTGCGCCTAAATTCGCAGGATGAAAACTGATCTATGATATATGTTTTAAGTTTAGATCTGAAGGGAGAGAGTGAGGCGGGGCGGCGGCGGAGCGGGGAGGAAAAGCCGCCCGGCTCTGGATCTGGTTTATATTGGTGCAAAGCCCTTGAAGTTGAAAGGTGCTCCGCGAACAGAAGAAACTGGCGGGGGGGGGCCGGGGGGGCAGCCGCGGCATAACTGGAATATTTGATTATGTTACATTTCCACGTGGCTCCAATGTTTGCCTTCTCCCCAGCGTCAGAAGGAAAACGCAAGGCAATGCTAATTGATGATGATGATAGGTTAATAATAGGTCAATAATAGGTTGATAATGATTATGATGGTTAATAATAATAATAATAATAATAACAACATTTATTATTCTTGTTGTTATGATTATTATTATTTGTTAATATAACAACAATATGATTGATATGATTAATAATAATGACAAAACGTGGCTAAAGGTTGCATGGGATAAGAAGGCTGCAGTCCTTTACGGGCATACCTGGAAGTACCGGTAAGTCCTATTGACTACAATGGGGCTTACGTCTGAATAGACCTCCGGTTCCTAGTCCACACCGCTTGAGGTCCACCGGGTACTCCTCGTTCTCGCTTGATCGTTGGTGGGGGAAAGGCACCGCTGTTCGTCTGAATCCTAGAATTAGTAGCGTTGGAAGGGATCCGCGGGGTCATCTAGTCCAACCCGCTGCTATGCAGGAAACTCAACTCGAGCATACCTGACGGGTCCTTTTTTTAAGGAAAGCCCACCACCTCTCCTGGAACAGCTCTTACTACTGTCAGAAAGTTATCCGGACAGAAGGCAAGATGCAATTCCTCCTCCTCATACTATTACACACACACACACACACACACACACACACGTGTGATTCTGTGTTATATTTCCCCCTTCCTCCTAAGGAACGCGCCACACGTCCTTCTCTCGCTGCCTCGTTCAGTCTCACAACAACCTTGCAAGGTAGAGCACTGACCCGAAAAGGTTCCAGTCAATCCAACTGCGAAGCGGTAGACCGGGTCTGAATCTGTTAAAGTCCGTGGCAAAACCGGCTGCTGCTTAAAATCGTGTGAAATGGGAAGCGGGGGTGGAGTGGGGGGCTAAAGGTGTGTCGCTAGCCAGTAACTTGAGTCAGACCATTTAGCTCAATAACTAACTTAGTTGGACTCTAAGGTGCTACTGGAAGGAATATATATATATATATATAATTTTATTTTATTTTAGTCTACATTGGCAGCGGCTCTCCAGGGTTTCGGGGAGGGGGTGGCCCCAGCCCCAAAAATGCCACGAATGGAACCCGGGAGTTTCTGCTTGCCCAGAGTTTGCTCTCCCACTGAGTCATGGCCCGAAGTGCTACGCTAAGGAGGGACAGCCCGGCTGCTGTTTTATTCCACCACCATGCCCCACAATTGAATTTCTTTCGCTCCTGTTCACAAGATCAGAGGCGAAGCGCAACACGACGACTTTTGGAAGTGGGAGGGGGGGGCGCTTTTCAAAGAGCAATTTTATGCCTGCTCTGTCAGACGTGAGTCCCTTTCAGTTGGGTGAGGCTTCTTGCCAGTTAAACGGGCAGCGACTGCAGCTATTCTGTAAGTCGCTGCTCAGAAGTAGGTCCCATTGAATCCAATGGGGCTGACTCCCAGGTTGAAAAGGGGACAAGATTTAACCACGTCTTTACTCAGAAAGGCTGAACTCGATAGGAAAATCGGGTTTATAGGTAGGATTTGAGTTAGAATTGCAGCCCTGGTCTGTTACAGCACATAAACTCTCACGCACGTGGTCAGGATCGTGTGGCCGTTTAAAGAAAAACAGGCTGGTTAAGTTTTCCCGGGTTGTTATTTAATAAAAATGGACTCAAATTCAGAAAAGCTTCTGCCCGGAGAAAACTGAAGTAACGGAACACTTCCCCTAGGCCTACTGAACTCAGTGAGTCTTACTTCCGAGTAGACATGCCTGAGGTTGCATTTGTTAGTCTTGGTGCTACGAGACGCTCGTATTTGTTTGTGTATGTGGGTGATACCCCCCCCTTTTTTTAAGCAATAAAAATAAGATCTAATGCTAGAGCGATTATGATAAAAACGCTCCGGGAGGAAAGCGAAGGGGTGACTCCTCGTTCCGCTCCTTATCCTAATTTAATTCGGTGCATTTTATCTATCAATCTATCTATCTATCTCCTGGAGGGCGAGAAGAATATGTCTCAGGGTCGTGCTAACTCAGACTCTGTAAAAGGGACGAAACACCGTGAATTTCTAACGCTCGGTGTCTCTTGGGCTACGGCTCTTGCATTGCAGGAGTCGATTTCCTGCGAAAACCCGAAAAGCGAGCCGCCCTCCCGAAACCGGGTGTGCGGAAAAGGTGCGTTTAGAGTCCGCTGCCTCCAACCAGCGGCCGAAATTCCGACAGCTCGACCGTGAGGATGTTGAGTCGGAAGTTTAAAGTCCTCCTGTGCTCGGCTAACTTTAGCATAAGTCAGGGCGGCCCGAATCCGAGCGAGCTGCGCAGTGGCATCGATAATTCAAGTCCCGCTTGGAATAATAATCGTGACAGAGGGCCCGATTCACTGAGAAGTCATTGAAACGAACAGAAGCTGGGAGCGCTGCCCGTCTTCTCGTTCAGTTCAATGGGATTCGTGGCAGGGTGAGTCTTTTTCGACGGTAACTCACGCACAATCCCGTCGCGCCCTACGCAACCAACCTTCCAGCTGGTTTGATGCGCGCCCATCTTCGGAAGTTTAAGAGCGTTGCGGTGTGACTCCGGTGTGACTCCGATTCTGTATGGCTGAAATACATTGCGGGTGCGAGATGCTCATTTATGGGATAGAGAGCAAGGGAACAAGCAGGACTCTACTATGCAGCTTCAGTGCTCAGCCTTTCTCCATCTTCCACCCCTTTGCCCAATCCTGTGAGCAGGATTCCTGCAAGGACTAGATGACCATCTGGGTCCCTTTCAATTCTATAATTCTATGATGTATTACAACGTGTAAGCGCCTCGGGGCGGGGGCCTGGCGGAGTCTTTTGTTCGCAAAACCACCTCCCACACTTGAAGGCGTGGCCCAAACCAGTCAGAAGAAGCCCGACTGTCAAGAGGTTCTTACAGAGCGAGCGTGTCTGTAGATGTCTTTCTTGTCATTTGATCCCGCATCACAGCAATTTTGCTTTTTGCCACAGCCAATGCATCTACCACCATTCCTGGTAGGAGGCAACACTGGCTGGGGAAATTAATTTAGTGTGGCAATTGTATATGATCCATATGGATTTTCATTTTCTGGTCGCTATGCCCTTGTTCCAAGGCAAAATCTATTGCGGTCTCCCTTAAAGCTGCATTCAGGGTCCCACCAAGGCCAGTTGAGGAGCAAATGGCAATATGTGGTTTTTTTCCCCTCCTCCCAAGATACAAAGTTTATTAGAAATGTAGATTAATAAAAAAATGAAAAGCAAAAACACATCATTCCTAACAAAACGGTTGATCCAAGCTAGGAACACCCAGAGGCCTTGATCCAGAGATGCAAAGGCATTCTCTCAGGATTCCCAGCCGCCCATCCACTGTCTGTGCTTAAACAGGTGGACACGTCCCCATTGCCCAGCCTATTGCTACATCGTCTCTTCTGCCACATCATTCCCTGTGCCATAACAAAAACCTGCTCCTGCTGATTCTTTCACACAGTCCTGTGATGTCTGGTCGAAACTGAAACTAGTGGGGCTCAGTGGGGCTCTGGCCTTAGATCCTCTAAAAAATTACACACAGGGTATAAAACGTCCCTACAAGAGCTGGAAATCCCCTTTCTAATCCTAGCAGGTCATAGAATCATAGAATTGGAAGGGACCACGAGAAGAAGAAGAAGAAGAGGAGGAGGAGTTTGGATTTGATATCCCGCTTTATCACTCCCCTTCAGGAGTCTCAAAGCGGCTAACATTCTCCTTTCCCTTCCTCCCCCACAACAAACACTCTGTGAGGTGAGTGGGGCTGAGAGACTTCAGAGAAGTGTGACTAGCCCAAGGTCACCCAGCAGCTGCATGTGGAGGAGGAGTGGAGACGCGAACCCGGTTCCCCAGATTACGAGTCCACCGCTCTTAACCACTACACCACACTGGCACACGAGGGTCATTTAGTCCAACCCCTTGCAATGCAGGCATCTTTTGCTCATCACGGGGCTTGAACACACGGCCCTGAGATGATGTGTCTCATGCTCTATATTGGCTGAGCTCTACCTCCGGGGTTCAGTCCCCGGCATCTCCGGGTAGGGCTTCCAATACCTCCAGTCATGAACCTTGGAGAGCAACTACCGGTCAGTGTAGACAGCAGTGAGCTACATGGACCAATGGACAGAAGGCAGCTTCCTTTGTAGCAACGGTGTCCCCAGACATATGGGCCCAGAGAGCGTCCTCTTTAATTCAGATTTCTGTAACAGAAATGCCACTTTAACGATCCCACCCTATATTCTCTGGAAGGGATCCTGTTTGTTTCGAGGTGTTCAACTGTCAAAGAAATAGCCTGAGGATTGCAGCCTGACTTTAACTTTCAGCTTCGGATCCATTCCTGGTTTGTAGATGAAAAGTACATTTCCTCCAGGGAACTCCCGGACTATGGGTGGCGGCCGGGTTCGCCTGCCCCCCACCCCTATTAATCCTAGACGTGCAGGTTGCGCTGGGCATTTTCTAGGAAGTGATTTGCACGCGTGAGGGGCAAAGCTGTGGGTGTTATTCAAGTTCTGAAGGAAGCACTCTCCAAAACAAAGGCGCAGCCATTTACTAAAAAGGGTCGAAAACGGCTTACATCGCGTATTTTCCATGTGTTTTTTCTCAAACTCCCAACAATCACCCAGTCACATGTTGCCTCCAAGGTCACCCGCCGCTGGATTTCTGGAGAAACACCTGAAGCCGGGATTGTCATAGCCAAGACCACGTCGTGTGATCGCTACGCACACCCTCGTTTTCCTCCAGGTATTCAAAAAGGCACACCTGTTTTGAGGGACTTCAGCGCTCAGTTCCTACCCCCAAAAAAGGTATTGAAGTGTGGGGTTTTGTTTTTAGTGGGGTACAACGTTCTGCCTTGTTCTGTAACCCTTTATTAAATTCATCTCGGCTGTCCGAACCATAAACACACGAGGGAAGTTGTTCGATTTGGTTCCATTTTACAGAACAGTAAAATAGATGGAAGATACCTCATACCCGACGTGGCCGATGGAGATAGGGAGACCAGCGTTGTGTTAAGGCAGTGTATAAGTCAGCTCTGTCCTAAGCAAATTCAACTCAGCATCCTTCAGCATGGAGGATTCTCCTAATCCAAATTGCGGTGTTTTGTTTTTTGGGGTGTGGAGGAAATATATATGCGCAGGTCAATACATAACTCCTGGTGAGTTGCTCCCAAGTCAGTGTGTATAGGATTGGAGTTTGCTAATATAGTCGTGATCTGTAGTGCAAGCCTATCCATTTTTACTCGGAAGTAAGACCTACCTTGCACAATGGGGCTTCCCACAAGCAGATGATTGCCCTGCAAAATTTATTCAGAAAGTAACTTTCCAAAGAGCCCCCATACCAATGAAATTCTGCAGCCTCCATCGCTGCGATTGCTTGCAAGTCGGTCACTCGGATTTCAACAGCTCTTTCTTTCAGATAAGCCAGCTAAGGATAGCAGATTGACACACCTCAAGCCAAAGATATCGACGGGTCTTGCATCCAGGATAGGGCACTATCAATTCTATTCCCTTTAATTTCTGTTCAAAGGGGTACCGAACATGGTGCCCTTGACACATGGTTGGACTACAACTCCCATCGGTCCCAGCCGATATGACCAATGGTCAAGGAAGATGGGAGTTGTATTCTAACAGTATTTGGAGAGCACCATGTTATAACAGGCACTTAATTCATCTTGGGTCCGTGGTGGATCACTTAAGGAGCAGCCCAGTGAAGACAAGGGTAGGGGTGCAGAGGGGTTCACCACCTGTCCGCCGCTGTCTATTGTAGAAGGCATTCCAGAGGGGTGGGGAACAAAGGTGCGTATTCCTTCTCAGGGATGTGTCTCTTACAAGTCCCCCCACAGTGTTGGCGAGGGATAAGAATAGTGACAAGGGTTATCCAAGGAAAAAATACTGCTGAAGTTCCCACCATCCCTGACTGTGGACTATGCTGCCTGGTACTGATGGAAGTTGTGGTCCAACAACATCTGGAGGAGGAAGCAATGGCTGCCTGTCCCAGATTGAAGACTGTTATAGAAGCGAGTCGTAGACTCCTTCATTGCAGGGGGTTTAGATGACTCTCATTCCCCCTTCCAACTCTATGATTCTATCAAAAAGCTTGAAGAGTAGAACAACTCCACTATGACTAAGCCTTTGAGGACTAGAGTGCTTGGAAGCGGATACAAATGTATATCCTTCTTTCCGAATCTTTGCCACAACTATCCTGGCTCTCCTTCTGGAAATGGACAAAAGGTCCGCCTGCTTCATTCGTCTATCTGAACAAATACATTTTTAGACCACCTTTCCTCATAGGAACAAGATCCCTGTCGTCCTCTCAAGAACCCTGTGAGGTAGGCTAGGCAGGGAGAGAGTGACTGGCAAGCAAGCAAGCCCGGCTGAAATGAATAGAAGGAAACTTGACTTCCTCGTTAAGGCGCTGCCCTCATTTGGGATCACTGAAATTCAGTGGGAACTCTGCATATAAGAACACAGCAAGCTGCCCCGCCTCAGGTCAGAGACCCCGCCCAGCCTAGTGTCACCTGCTCTGGCTGGCAGCTGCTATTCTCCAGGGTTTAAGGTAGGAATAAGCTTTTCCCCATCACTGGCTGCTTTTGACTAGTTATGCCAGGAACTTCAGCATGGGACCTTCGTGTGTCAGCTCCAGGTGTGGGCTCTAGCACTGGGCTAGGACTCGCTTACATGGATGGGCTGCTCGCGTCTTTTAGACTGGACTCCAAGCCTCGTTGGAACCGACGGGATCCTCTGTCAGCTAAAGACTCTCAAGAATTGGGTCGCATACTCAGAAACTCTCCTAATAGTTCAGCCAGGTATCCCACCCACGTTCGACCACGGGGAATGAGGCGCCTGTGGGCGGCCCTCAGGGTGTCTTTGAACTCCATTTCCCGTCAGCCCCAGCCAGCATGGCCATTGGCCATGGAACCTAATAACACCTGGAGGGGCGGGGCCTACCAACTCTGTTCTGCAACCCGCAGGATGACGTCTCCCCAGGTTCCAAGGTTCCAAGGTTAAGGCTCAGCACTCAGAGATGACACTGGAAAGCTCAGTCGGTAGAGCATGAGACCCTTAATCATGGGTTCGAGCCCCATGTTGGGCAAAACCATAGGACAAGAGCGGTGGAGGTCTCTCTCTGTGTGTGTGTACTATGTCAAAGGCATGGCAATGGGAAAGGAGAAGGCTCTTGGCTCAGCGGTAGAGCATCTGTCTTGTATACAGAAGATTCCGAGTTCAATCCCTGGCATCTCTAGGTAGGACCTGGAAGAGAATCCTGAACACCTTCTGCCAGTCAACGTTGTCAATACTGAGCTAGACGCGCGAGCAGTCTAACTCCGGATAAGGCAGCTTCCTGCGTCCCTACGTTCTTTGCAAGGCAAAGTCTTTACAAGCAATAAAAAAATGGGGCATTGTGGGGAGCGGAGGGTTGTTTCCTCGATTTAAACTTCAACTTCCTTTCTTCCAAGCCTGGCTCTGGCTGTTCACTGGCAAGAAGACGGAGGGGGGAGGGGGAAGCGCCCGGCTGGCAATTTCCACATCTGTTCGCTTCACGTGACAATCCCTCCACCCTCAGTTCCAACATCTGGCCAAAATCAAGCTCCTTCAGGTACCTGCTTAGCTGTGAAGCTCCCCTTTTTCAGTGCTGGCAGTAGGATCGCCCCCCGCCCACTCTAAATTATGTGTCCGTCCTCACATAATCACAGAAAACATAATTTGGAACAAAATCGGCAGCTGCGGGGGCTGGCGGTGAGCAAAAGCTGTAACACTTAAGGCTGCAATCCTATGCAGTTATTTGGGACCCAACACTTGCGAATTATACTTTCGTGTAAACATGCGCGTAAAATCAATCTGCCATCCGATGCGCCCGTTTGCGTACATTCGACCGGATGCGGCCAGTTCCTCTGCAAAGTTAAAGGGTGCGGAGTGCTGTGGAATTCTCTCGGACTTACTCCCGAGTAAACACGCATCGGATCGGGCCGTGCAAAGTGAAAGAAAGTCGCATTGACCTCCCTTCACCCTGCTGCCATTCCGCAGCCTATTTCCTTTGCAAGATAACTTTCCGTTCCAAATGCAGAATCGTCGAGGCTTCCTTTTAGGGGAGGAAGATTCGGATCGGTCGGTGTTTGGTGGGTGTTTCCGCTCGAATTCGAATCGAGAGACCCTTACCTGTTTTATATTCCTTTCTCGGCACGTGCGGGTGACAACCGAGAAGGAGAAAGCGAAGTCAAGCTTCTGTCCTCCTCAGCTCTGAAGCTTTGACGTGACAACAAGCGCGTTCTCGGCGCAGCCTTGACAGTTCGAGGCCACGGCAGGCAGATGTCAACCCGATTTGACTGCCGATTAGGTTACAACAAGACTGACGTCCGTTGTGAAGGCAAAGCGGCAGACGCGACTGACATCTCTCTTTGGAAAGACTGACACCTCTCCAAAGAAAATACGAAAGCCTGGACGCTGCCCTCAAGATCCGTGCCTTTTACAAGGCTGACTTCGGGAGTCCCATTGCCTTGAATGGGACTCTCTCTTTGACCAAAGAAAATGCCACCAGCTGCCGCCGGCGCATTCAGCTTCTGCAGGGAAAGATTTCCTCTTCGTCAACAAAAACCAGGCGCATGAAAAATCAGACATTTTGAGCGCTTTCAAAGGGGGTCGAGTTTTTTCCTACTTCCTTGAACTTTTTATTCTAGGGTTTTGTCACCGCAAAGAGGCTTGCGGCATTTGGAGAGAGCGACAGAGCAATGCAATACGTGCCCACCCTGAAGCAAAGTCCCATTTAGTTCCATGGCGTTTATTCCCAAGAAAGGGAGGCTGGCAGCATCGCAAATCTCTGAGGGCATCAGATTTCGTCCGCTGCCCAAGGAAGGTTCTGTGCCAATTTACCTGGGAGTAAGGTCCCAGTAAGTAAGTAAGATCGTGAAGCTGAGGCTCCAATACTTTGGCCACCTCATGAGAAGAGAAGACTCCCTGAGAAAGACCCTGATGTTGGGAAAGATTGAGGGCACACGGAGAAAAGGACGACAGAGGACGAGATGGTTGGACAGTGTTCTCGAAGCTACAAACATGAGTTTGACCAAGCTGTGGGAGGCAGTGGAAGACAGAAGTGCCTGGCGTGCTCTGGTCCATGGGGTCACGAAGAGTCGCCCTTTACTTACTTCTGAGTAGATACCAGATTGCACTGTTAAGTCTTTTAAGATGCCGCTCCTTTCTTGAACGGCGTGTTTCCACCCTTTCACATCGAATTGCAAAAAAAAAGCTTACCATGTACGTATGTGTAAGATAGACCATTTCATACACAGCTGCGGCAAAAAGACGCATCTGAGACTAATCAAAAGCAGGAAGTCATATTGGCCATTAGAACAAAATTCAAACAGAGACAGTAAAAGAAGACCTTTATTGGGATCAAGCAAGGTTCAGAAATGTGCCAGCTTCCCAGTAACTCAGGACTCTTCAACAGAGTAAATTCTGAAATGGAATAGTTCCTTCTTCGCAACCTTCTAAGAGGTTTCAACAACAAAAAACTACTTTTTGATCAACGCCGACATCATGGGTTTAATATCAAGCCAAATTTCTCACCTCCACCCCTCCCGCTTGGCTTAATATCGATGACATCTCCTGGACTCTGAAGCTTGATCACTTTCTCCTAACATTTTGGTTGGTCAGTATAAAAAGAGGAATTTGTATTCCCACCTTCAAAAGAAAAATGGCCGTTCTGCGTTGTAATCTAACCTGTATTTAACCACTTTAGCCTATTCGGAGAGTATCTACCTGGGGGGAAAAGCTTACTTGTTTAGGAGGCAGCTTGGGGAAGACCTGCCCCCCGGAAATGACACTAGTGTCCCTGATGTGAAGAACACCATTCCTCCTCAAAGCTGGCAATTTAAGAAAGAAAGGGAAACGAGGTGGAGATATTCTGTATTCAGAGAAACGCCTCTCCTCCCCTCCCCCAACAAGCGTCATGAGGAAGAGTGCTGTATCACACAAAAGCTGGCACACCACACCATGAACGTCGGTCGATTTCATGAAGATATTTTTTCTCTCCCTCCCTTATATTAAAACCTCGTGATCTAGAGAGATGACATTTTCGGAGGAAAGAGCAACCGGGTGGTTTTCTTTGGGTTTCTAAATTGAGGGTTGGATCTTATGATTCAGAACCACTTCCAGGGATTCTAGCTGATGAAGGACTCCTTTAACCGGTCAAATCGACGTGGGTATGTCGAAGCACTGTTTAGGAAAGAGAGAGAAAAGCCACTCCCCAATACGAAACACGTTTACTGGGAAGAGAAATGCAACTGATGTGGATGAGATTTATTCCCAAGTAAATTAGTTCAAGGGCTGAGATCTTCCCATTCCAATGTTGCTTCTTTTTAGCTGTCTGCTCTAAAGCACGTGATTTTTATGTAGTAGAAGCTCAGATGGGGGGGGGGGGAAGGATGCGACTGCTTAACTAACCTCTTTCTCGGCATCTTTTAAATCCAATATTGATTATTCCCAAGGAAGGCAACCCTTTCTGGATTCGCCGATCACGTGCTCAGTTGCTTCTAAAGTGGAAACAGGGTCTGCTGTTCAGAAGAGGGCGGGGGATGTGGAGAGGGGGGGCAGCCTGTGCGAGTGATTTTAACCTGCTCCACCTTGAAGTGACCTGCCAAATGCACTTTCTTATTTTATAGACATCTGGGAATTCCATACATGCCTTAAACGCCAATTACACACCTTCTTCAAAGGACACGTGCTTTGATTTGCCAAGAACATTTAAAGTCGGCCGAAGTTTGAAAGAAAAAAGAAAAAGCACTACTGCAAAAGAAAGAGGGGGAAAGAAAACGCATGTTTTTTTTAAAAAAAATGGTGGGGGATCCTGTACAATGTTCTCTGCCTGGAGAAAGGGGAAGCGGGGAGATTATGTTGTTTTGTGAACGAATCGATCCGGTTTGGGGCCGAAAGCTTCTAATTTTCCAGGGTCTTCCAGACTGGAGCGGGGCCTGACCTCATTTATTTCGCTAAACCTAGAGGCTTTCTCTTTCTTTCTTTCTTTCTTTCTTTCTTTCTTTCCGATGGCATTACTTAAAGAAAATGGACCAAGCCTGCGATTCTATGCACTCTCCCATGAGCAGCACGTGCATTAGGATTGCAACTCCATGCACAGTTACTCTGGAGTAAGCACTACTGAGCCGCAACCCGAGGCCTGGGATGCGCAGGTAACCTACCTGACTCCCTTTGCTCTATTACCGAAACAAAAGGTGTTACGCTAACTGCAAATGCAGAATCCCGAATCGGAATCGAAACCAATAAAAGGGGAATAATAATAATAATAATAATAATAATAATAATCACAATAACCGCAAGAAAAAGGCGAATCGCGATCACTTATTGCTATTACCCGTCCTTCAAAATGCACGCAACGATCGAGATAAGGCTGAATCTGGAGGCGAGGGGTCGTGCTCTTGTGTGGTGCCAAGACCCGCTGGAGGTGCTCATCGCCTATCTCTGGTGCTCAGTCTCACGGTCTCGGGTGGCTTTGTGGGATTCTCTTCCCATGTCTCTCTGAGGTTCCTCCTCCTGACCTGAATCTGGTCTGTTGTACCAACTGGGACCCAAGAGTCCTTGGAAGGCTTTCAATGGAGCCTCCTCGGCGAGGAGGAATTAAGGGTCACGGATCCGCATCATGGATGGGGAGGGAGACTGCGGCTCCTCCAGCTTTTGCTGGACTGCGACTCCCATCAGCCCCAGTCGATGGGAATTGGAGTCCAGTAGCAACCAGGAAACTCAACCCGAAACGGTTTTCCAGGCTGTACTCGAATGAGAGGGTTCTTTCCCACGAGTTTCTCACTGAACCCAAAGCCGCAGGAACAGCCTCAGTCAAGAGCTGAGATTTACAAGTCTCGGTTGCACCCCACAAATAAAACGTGAGCTATCCCCAAATCATACCTCTCTATGGTCTGACTCAGGGTAAGGTGCCTTTCAGGTTTACAACCTGACTCTCAGTTTACAACCTCAGTCAAGCACACAGGGGCGGCGTAAGCACATAGATGTGTTAAAAGCACCCACCCACCCAAGAATCCTGGGCACTGAAACTTGTTAAGGGTGCTGCAAATTACAGTGCTGCGATGGGCAAACTACAGTTGCCAGGATTCCTGGGGAGTACGCTTTACATGTGCTTTTAATGTATGGTGTGTTACACAGCCACGGTAATCATATTTATATTGACAAGGAAAGTAGGTCTCCTTGCTTAAATATTGAACACATATTACTTCGAAATATGTTTCCTTGACTGCCCTGGGATTTTCTTTCACCGCTGCTTGGACGACACTCCAGCTGCGATCCCCACCCCATTGCTCTACCAGAGGGCTTCTATGTATGTAGTTCCTCAAAAGTAATTATCATGGGATTTAGTGGGATTTACTCTCCAGTAAGTGTACTTACTGGTGGCGCTGTGGGTTAAACCACAGAGCCTAGGGCATGCCCATCAGAAGGTCGAGGGGCGAGCTCCCGTTGTTCGGTCCCTGCTCCTGCCAACCTAGCAGTTGGAAAGTACGCAGTGCAAGTAGATAAATAGGTACCGCTCAGGCGGGAAGGTAAACGGCGTTTCCGTGTGCTGCTCTGGTTCGCCAGAAGCGGCTTAGTCATGCTGGCCACATGACCCAGAAGCTGTACGCCGGCTCCCTCAGCCAGTAAAGCGAGATGAGCACCGCAATCCCAGAGTCCTCCGCGACTGGACCTAATGGTCAGGGGTCCCTTTACCTTTTAAGTGTACCCTAAGATGAATCCAGGTGAATAATAGGACACTTTTGAGTTAACACAATAATGCATAATTTATGTAAACCACTTAGAGGTTATGAGGATTGTGTGGTATATAAATCCGGTTAAATAAATATGATATAAATTGATGAGGGTTGTTTCCCCCCCCCCCCCCAGGGCCCTAATATTTGCATGCTAATGGATTGCATGGTTTGATATAACGTAATTGCTTCGGTTTGGGTGTTTTAGGTAGGATCTCCTGCCGTTCATCATATACCCCATTACATGCTTAAGATCCAAAACGCGTCTTCTCGAAGCCGTAGCATTTCTCAACCTAGATACCCGCCTAAACCAAAACCCACCCACTTATTTACTCAGAATATTCCATCCATTTCCTGAACCTGTTCCCAAGCAGGGCTGCGGTCCAGCACCCCTTTACTTCGAGGTAAGCTCTACTCCACGATTATGCCATAACGAATTTGTCACTGCTCCACAAGACTCACAACTGTTTGTGTTTCAACAGACGAATACATCCCCTCCGGAAATGAAAATTAAAGGTATCCCAGTGGACCCGGCCCTCCAGACTGGTTTGTGTGTGGGTGTGTATTCTGCAACGTGTCATCGTTGACACAATAATACTGAATTACTGGTGGAGTTCCACTGGTCCGTCCACACAGTATTCCGGTTTATTCGTTGTTCTGCAGTGTCTTCCCAACGTTACAGCATTACCGCGGTCTGCAGGGACGCTCTTCCGCTATAGCTGAACAAAAGTGGCACACAAACCCGGAATATTTGGGGCATAAAAAGTTACGAGACATGCACCAATTGGAAACGCAGCATGCATACCCTGAAACGTTTGCAGGAGCAAAAAGTATTGAAAGCACGACCACCGTGATAAGTACTAACGATAAGGGTAGTGAAAAGACGTCTGCAGGGGCCCCGTGTCTTTAAAGTATCTGTGCACCCTTACATTCGTGTAAGCCCTGCTGATCTCAAGGAGGCTGACTTCTGAGTAGACCTGCCTAGGATCGTCCTTTAAAACAGCAATCCTCGCAGCCCTTTACTTTGCAGCAAGCCCCATGGAAATCAGAAGGGCTTACTCGCGAGTAAACATGCCCAGGACAGCGCCACCCAGCCCAAAGCCCCGTCACTGCATGGGACGAAGTTAAGACTTAGGCACAAACTACCATCAACGCCACCCAAATACACGCGCCCTTCCTCCAATTTTCATTGGATCTGCTTGGATTTCCCTAACATTTGTTGTTTCCCCGCACATTTAAGTTTGTTTTTCATCTCCCCTCGCCCCTCAAAAAACAACAAAAAAAACCTTTTTTTAAAAAAGATTACAGATGCAGGGAAAAACCGCCTGACATCATGAGAGCGGGGACAAACGCTCACTTTGAAGGATTCCTGGGCAGGACTTCAAGTGAAATCGTATGCCTGAGAAGAATTTGATACTGGACTAGAGAAAATAACTAGATCGGCGTTTGCCAAACCGTGGAATGTGCAAGAAGGCCCCGCGGGCGCTCTCTCTCTCTCTCTCTCTCTCTCCAGCGCGCGCGAGGGCCAAGTTGCAGCAAAAGGTTGCCTTGCTTCTAGGGCAGTAGCAACAGCCCCAGCGCCGCACACTCCATTCCCTGCACCAGGCCACCGGCAGCCGGAGCCCTCGCTCTCTCCCCCTTTGATTGGCAAAAAGAAAAGAAAAAGTCCCAGGAGCCTTTGCAAAATTAAGGGGGAGGTATGTGTGTGTGTGAAGTGGGTTGCTGGCGGGAGGGGTATCCCAGAATTCATTTGTCTTCTTCCAGGTTTCTGAGTGGTCCAAGTCCTCTCGCCAGTCATCAGAGCCCGGTTTCGCAAGAGGATGAACACCATGGCAACCAAACATGGCCGGCTTCCTTATGGGGAAGCAGATCAGTGGGTGAGGAACGTACAAGGCTTGGGGGGCGGGGAGGGGGGGAGAGAGAGAGAAGTCAGAAAAGTTTGACTGCTCGAAAAGCAGCTTTGACTCTCCCCACCAATTGTCAGCGAGTTTCTCAATACTCAGAAAACTATAGCCATCTTTGGTTTTTATGTTACACACAGATCTATCTATCTATCTATCGATCGATCACCTTTCCTCCAATTTATCCTCACACTAACCATGTAAGGTAGGTGAAACTGAGAGACCGTGGCTAGGCCTAAGTCACCCAGTGGATATCACCATTGAGGGGGGCAGGGGTGCCAGCTTGAATAAAAAATGTGGGGGGGGAGGTAAGCCCCGCCTCACATAATCACAAGACAGGGAACACACACACCGTTGCTCATCAACTTTGAGGAGGTCAGAGTCCTTAAATATTTTATTTGGGGTGGGGTGGGCGAAGGGACCTCGGCACCTAGGAGTTGGCTCCTGTGGGGTGCGAACTTGAACCCTGGTCTCTCAGGTACTGACTGGTAGGCCAGCAGTCTGCACCGGCCCCCAAAATACCCAAAGCAGGAGGCGAGCTGGAGAATGCGAGAATCCATCCTATGGCTCTTTAGTATACCAAGCGAACGCCTTCCTGCTTCAGCTAATCCCACAATGTCCTAAATCCCAAACATTTCCCTAAAGGGCCATCTCGACTGAGACGGCAGCATCCGCTCCCTTCCTCCCAGGGGTGCCAACTTGAATAAAATATTAGAGTGGGGTCAGGTAAACCCTGCCCCACATAATCAATCACAAGACTCGGCGTATGTACACCATCTGAATGGCAATGGCCATCAACTTTGAGGGGACCATGCCCCCCTCAAAGATTTTATTGGGGGGCTGAGGGGACCTTGGCACCCAGGAGTTGGCTCCTATATTCCCCCACCCTCCTCCCCTCTCTGAAAGGAACAAGGGGTGAAATAAAAAAACCGGATATCTACAGTTCTATGATCCTTTACTAAGGAAGGATACCAATACCACCAGCTAGCCAGCATAAAGAGGGTGGAAGAGAAAGGTGCCTCTGGCCCCTGTTCTGAAAGGGGAGGGGGGACGGTGGCCTTCCGGACGCTGTTGGACTTCATCTCCCATCAGTCCCAGCCATCGTGGCCAATGGTCAGGGGTGATCGGAGCTGGAGTCCAAACAATATTCTGGAAGGTCACCAGTTCTCCACTCTTTGTCCTAGTTGGAAACCCTCTCCAGGCGTGACGGACGTTCTCCCCACCCTCCAGCGCAACGAATAACATCTCAAGGCTCCCATCCCAGGGAAAGTCGCCTGTATTTTCAAGCACGCCCAATGAAACCGAAGCAGGCACCCGGACGCCTTTTACCTGGAAGCGAATCCCACTGGTGTTTGCCCTCACTTCCGCACAGAAGTATGCAAAGAATGACATCGGATCTCCTTTCAGCGCCAGAGCCTAAGGCAGCCTTTGGAAACGAGAGTACTTGGAAATCAGTTCCGCGGGAAATCAGCGGGCCTTACTTCCGAGTAAGCATTGTCCAGTTCTGGCTGTAAGGCTGAGATAATTCTGTGCATCTTTACTTGGCTCAAAGGGGCTCAGCTCCCCAGGAAGTGCATTTTAGCCTTGGAGCCCTAAACAGCAATCCTGAACATACTTTCTTAGAAGAAAGTTAGGCTGGGGAAAAAACAGGAAGGCGGGTAGGCCTAAACGTTTGCTCAGAAGTAAGTCCCACTGGATTCAAAAAGGGTTAGTCCCATGTGTAGGGACCCAGGATACAGTACTAAACAGCCCGATCCTGTGCACATTTACCCCCACTGAATCCAAGGGGAAGACTTACTCCTCGCAAGCGCCTGCAGTCCGAGGAACCGAACTGAAACCAATTCCTCTCGGAGTATGTGAATGAATTCGAATTTCAGGCGTAGGGCGTGAGCGTCAGATTTACATGGGGATCCATAGATTTAGAAACAGGCTTCCTGAAAAACCAATGGCAACTACCGCACACCATCTCCACTGATAAATTCGGAGATGCCAATCGGGACAACTTTTAGGATCAAGTCCATTCAAGAGGGAGACTAGACAAAGGTTTTTGTACCTTACCTTTTTCAACAGCACAGACCATGCTCTGATTCCTGCTCTCTGCTTTCTAGCTCTCCTCCAGGTCTGAACTGGCCCCCCAGATCTTCTGCAATCTCAGGCCACTTCATTTGGGGAAATCCGGTCGATTCCAGAGCTTGCTGGGCGACCCTGCCGAGGGTACCCTTCCTCCTTCTGACGGGGGGCGGGAGATGGACCTCCGCAAGCCTCAAATCCAGTTTTGTCAAAGTCCTGGCTAATCCCCTTAAACACAAATAAACTCTGCCGTTTATCTATCTATTTGTTTATTTTAAAAATTCTGTCAACAGCGCTCACCGGCCCCCGACATGGCCGATGGTGAGAACCGTGAGGAGCTGGGGAAGGCGGAGAGAGGTGGCCTAAGGATGGCCAGGGAAAGGTAAACAAGGCATCCGGAAACGTCAACCCGAACCTGAGCAAAACAAACAGGGATGGTTGGGATGAGGGAGACCAGCCCGGCTTATTTATACGACCAGAGTAATCAGACATGGATAAGGCAGAGCAAACTGGCATCTGCTACCTCCCAGATGCTTCCATTTCAACACAAATGCGCATCAAGGACCTCAAGGACCGCTTTGCATGGCAGGCAGCTCGCTTCCTCGAGTGTAAACCCGCGCGGATCTGAACCGCAGGTCGGCGTCAGAAGGCGCTTTGGATTTTGCAGCTCAACCCAAACGAGCCGATCCGAATGGTTTGGGGCGGGGGGCGGGAGAGATGTGCTGCCGGATCTTATTGCACGTTTACACGAAAGGAAGCCCAGTTGCCTCTGGCTTGACAAATGCTAGAGGCGCCAACGGGTTTCTGTCTAATGGGCACCGCGGGGAGGATCGCGTCGCACCCAACCGTGTCAGTTAGATCGGGAGTGCCTCTACTTCGGCTTATATAAAGTGGAATGAAGGGGCTGGGGGGGGGCGTCACTTGGGAAGGGATAAGGCGAGCCCAGGGGTTGCCCGACGTGCCATTTGTTCGCCTGGTGTGAAACAACAACATAAAAACTGATCCTTAAAAAAAAGAAAAGCAGTGAAATAGGAGACCTTGGTTTTCCCTACTCCTGGAGTAAGCCGCTCGCCTCCGAGCCACCGTTTTGATCACCGCTGGGCTGTTGCTATAGCCGGACACGCTGCTTGGAAGCAAAGCTCCCTCCGAATGAATGGGGGCTTCTTTGCTTGCAAGGCGTTGAGTTGGACGTGGGCTGTTTTCCTGCATGGACATTCGTCGTGGAGTTCCTTCTGCGGCAGTACCGTCTATTTGTCTGATCGATGGCAACAAAACAATCGGGGGGTAAGGGGACACACACACACAGTCTGAAGACCTCAAGTCTGAGGCTCAAACTTTCGGTCATCTATCTGCAACGCCGCGCACGTCAAGGGTTCGCCACTTCTCACTGGAAAGCCAGCGTGCCTGATCCGAGGAAGTCAGTCCCAGCAAAAATCAATGCGATCTCTCTCTCCCTCCCCCACCCCCCACCCCAGGCTTACTTTCGAACACACGTTTCTGGAGGCAGGTGTGAAAAACCACCACCCACTCCCTCCTCCCTACTTAATTCGTTACAAAAACAAAACTCTGGATGCATTTGGCTTATGGATGGGCTTCAATCAACCTCCACTCCGCCCCAAACCCTCAACAAACACAAATAGCTACGCGACCGCTGAGCACCTTTATCTGCCCCCCCCCCCCGCCCGAGATAACAAGAAACACAGCGGTGGAGAAATTGCATGCAGACCAATGGGTGGTTCTTAATTTAGATCGAAGGAGGATGAGGATGATAATAATATTAATACACTACACTTTACCATTATAAAATTCGCTATTTTGATTAAAAGGGGGAGAGAATCCGAAGTCCTGCAAAATCTTCAAGCAGAATCATAAAGCTGTCTCGATAATTAACACTCATGTGTCTGTCAGTAGCTAGTTTATTTGCGTTCTTCTCTCGTTTGTTTATATTCCCTCCCCCCCTCTCTCTGACCCTGGCCCCTTACTCTCCTGGGTAATTTCAGATCTACGCGATCGAGCATTATTTACCTTCAGTTTCAAGCCCGTTTTCCTCCGTACAGACCAAACTTTAAAATTCTTTTAACATTTCAATTTATTTATTGCAGGAAAAAAATATACAATGATATTTACAAAACAATCATAAAAATAGGAATGCATTTAGACACCGGATCTATTTGCATTTTTTTTTTTAACATGGGTCATCAATAAATAAATAGAATGTTTCATTTTTTTTCTCTCGCTCTCCCCCCACCCCATTTCCCCCTCCTTTTTTTTCTTGCAGGAAAAATAAAATATAAATGAAAGAGGAGCAGGATATAAGAGTTTTGGAGCCCATAATGCATAGCTACCCTAAACATATTTTCTTAAAAAATATATTTTCCTTTCTCACTCGTTCTAAACGGGTTTTTTCCTTTCCGGGTTTCTCTGTCATTAGATCTGTTCCAAAAAGAGAGCGAGGGAAATGGGGGGAGTCCACAGTAACGTATTTCCTTTCATGAGTGGCTCATAAACTCTCTTGGGAATGCATGCATGCAAGAACAAAAAAAAAAAAAAGGAAGTAAAGAGGAAAAAAAGTTAAATTCCAACATTCTTCGTCAAAATAGAAAAATAAAAATAAAACCGGTTCAGATTTTTGATCAGAATGCAGAGATGTCTGGTAGGGCCCTTTGGCCGCCTCTGGATCAGCCGCCTCACCATCCGAGGAGCCCCCCCTCCCCGGGTCTCTCGCCTCTCCTGGTCTCCCAACGCCCTGCTCCTTGCAACGTGGGCCAAGAACGCCGCTCAATTTCCAAGAAAATCCTTGGCGTTATATATTGTCTTAGAGGGAACAAAGGGGGGAGAGAAAAACAAAGGAGGGGAGCCGAGTCCAAGTGCAGAGTCTCTCTCTAGATTGTCCGTTTTCTCTCCTTCTTTGGGAACAAATGTCATCTGCAAAAACCCAGAGAGAGAAAGAGAAGAAGGGAATGTTGGTTACTGGAAATGGAAAATGAAATATATTGCGCACATATATTAAAAGAAAGAGGCATATTTTAAAATTATTTTTAAAAAATGAAACACCTCCTTCTTTCGGTTGTGTTACTTTCTATCTCTGCACATGTCCATTGTATATATTTTGGTACACCGCCCTGGTTGAGTACGATTGAAGGGCGGCATAAAAATACGCGTCACAATTCCAGCAAATAACACCGCTGCAAATGTTTGATTCTAGCCTGCTCTACACAATGTGCTTCTGTGTGTCCACGGGGGTGGGGGGGAAGGAGGAATTAAAGCACAAAGGAAGGAGGGGGGAGGGCCCTGCTGGAGAGGCATGAAATTAGGAAACGCGCAGAGGGGAGTGTTACGGATATCTAGGAGAATCTAGTGCATGGGGGGGGGGACCGCTTCCCCCTGGTGCTCTTAAGATCAGCTACTTGGAAGCAGGTCCCCTCAGATCTGGGGGTAGCTTGCTTTCAAGGAAGCCTGTTCAGCAACCCGAGGTGGATCCTTTCCCAGTCACTTCAAGGAATCATAGTAATAATAATGGTTCATGAGTTGTCCCCACCTAATTTCCCTGTGTGCGCTGTAAGTACGGCTAGGAGACTGAGGCACAAATTTAAAACAAAACAAATATTTTTTGGGGGGTGGAGGGGAAGCAGAGGCTGGTCGTGGGTCTCTGCCCATCCGGAGAGAGGCAGTAGGAGGCTGGCGGGCAGGCTGCCGATTGCGGTTCGATTGCAAGCTGCGATCCCCGTGACAGTTAAGCTGCTTTGTTTAACCTGACCAGGTAGGCGCTCTGGTCTGGGCCCTCAACCTCCGGCCTAGCTCAGCAGTCGCCTGATGCTACTGGAGGAGAAACTGCTGGGCGGCCCTTGGCTTCACGTAATGCTCCAATCCCGATCATGTTTACTTGGAAGCAAACCCCAAATGCCTTCAAAAGGGAGTTGTGGTGGCGAGGAACCCTGGCTGCCCGGATAGTCTCATTTGCACCCCAATTCATCCCCGCTGCTGAGCCGATGGGACTTTTTGCTCCGGGGGAAGCGTGTACAGTATAGGATTGCAGCTATGCATCACCCGGGTACTGCTCGTGTTTTCCCTGGGGAATGTCATATGCAGCTCTGAGTAGGGTTGGTACTTTAAGTACGTTTGCACAAGACTAGACCTTAAGCTGCGCTCCTGGGTGGGTCTGACTTCCCAGTAAACATGCATGGGGTCGGGAGTTGCGGTGCTTCCTTCTCTCCCAAATTCCCACGCCACCCTAAGCGTTTCCTGAAGATTCCACGGACAGGAACGTGTAGTACATTCCCACGTGTCTGTCCTCCTCAAGGCCGCAAGCCAGGAGACTTACAGCCTCGTTCTATATATTTACTCGGAAGTCAGTTAATGGAGCTGCAGCCCCAATAGGGGAGACTCTGCGACCATTTCTCAGGCCAGGCTCCCCCTTGAACATCTCATTATACGCCACATTTTGTTAGAATACTGAGAATTAGGTTGCCTACGCGCCACTCATTTCAAACTCATGACTTCACCCAAAGAACCCCGGGAACTGTAGTTCCTTAAGGGCGCTGGGAATTGCAGCTCTGTGAGAGGTTAAAAACTACAAACGTTTGGGAGCGGAGTATCTCTTTGAGTTCTCCCGCAGCTTTACGTGGTTGAGTAACCCTCAGCAGAGTAAGGCTCCATCCCAGCACCATTTCGATCAGTATTGATATGTACTACTGATAAAGGTTCGAATTAAGGCTTCAAATCCATTTAGTTTCCAAGAAAGCAGATTTAACAGCTCGATCCTATCCATGCTTGCTCCTTAGGTTTTCTCCCTAGGTGTTGTGTGCAGAGGATCGCAGCATCAGGATGGAGGTACAAATGTTCTTGAGATTCTTCCATGGTGGCGCCACCGGTCTCTAGGCTGGGACAAGTCAATGCTTGTCTACCAGCTCGACCGGACTCCGTGAGACCTACCTCCGAGTAAACATGCACAGGAGCCGCCTGCTGACCTAAGCATATTAATTTGGCAGCAGGTCTGACTGGGATCCGTGGAACTTACTCATGGAAAGAGGCTGCAACAGTCAGTCATAAGAAGGACCTGTTTGATTATGGGGGCTCATTGATCTTCTTAAAAAATGAAGCGGCGTGCGCTGACTCTGAGACTCTAACCCAACATAGAACGCTTTGCAAACCTTAAATAAGAAGTCACCACTACGCCCAAACCAGTTTAGTTGCGTAATTTGAGAGATTATGTTTAGGGCGGCCGATCCAATTTGCCGAAGAATCCCAACGAGAATCAGTCAACGTCCCATCAGACCTTCGGGACCCCGATGCCATAGGCATACAGGATTTTTTTCCGCGAGAAAAGGAAAAGGCGCATTTAAGACTCCCCACAACCAAGCGATCTGCTTCCAACAGCCTTTTCCTTGGGAAGGAGCTCCCTCGGAATCAACGCATTTGGAAATTCCGCAAGATTTTTTTGGGTGGGGCTAACTAAACAAAACATTAAACTTAACGCCACAGCTACGGTCCAACGCAGGGCACATGCTCTTTAAAGGAGACGCTTCTGTGGACTGCGTGTTATTTCTGGCTGGCTCCACGGCCAGTTAACTAGCCTTGAAGTCAAGAGAGGACCTCCGCAAGAAAGCGTGTGTCTAGGATCTAGCGGTGGGTTTGTGGGTCGGCGTTAGGAAATGCAATACCTTTCCTACTCAAGAATTTACTTCTTCCTTTTCAAGCCGAAGTGGCCTCCAAGGAAGCTTTCTTGGGATGGGATCACCCGGATCTCCCCCGAAGTGGAGGGCGACTCGAATACAGTAAATGCCGAAGTGGAAGCTTTTCTGCTTTGGGTTGGCGAATCTAGCGAGTTCGCTGATTGTTTGCGAGAGGGGTGCCTGCGCGCATGGAGGGGGTGTCTAGCAATTGGAATTTTAAATAAAGGCTTTCCCCTCTTCCTGATTTTTGGCCTAACTCCCTTCTCAGGCTGCAGGCCCGGAAGTCCCGTTTCAACCTTGCCCCACCACCAAGGAATTTGGCTCGGGCAGAGATGATCCGGGGTGCACCCCGGTAGGGCACGTATTCAGAAGGGGAGGGAGATAGATGCCTTAACAATACAGTTCAGGGGTGGACCCCGCTCTCTGCCATTCAGGGCGACTTGCTACCCTCGCTTTTTCGCTTGCTGCTATTGGTCTAGCCTGACTTTCCTTCATCCCGCACGCGGAAATCCATCCCGCCTAAGCCGGGCTGCTAAGGCCTACGCGCGCTGCTTTGGAAAGGCAGCCTTCCATCTTTGAAAGCTGGGGAAAGGCAGGGCGTGTTACTCGAATGCTTTTTTTCCACCCCAGAAAAAAAGTTAGTCCGCTCTGGAGTCCAGAGGGACTTACTCAGGAGGATGCGGGAAGTTAAGGAGGCGTCAGAGTGGCGGGCGAGCCTCAGCATCTCCGAAACCGGGAGGGAGCGTCCTAGAGGCCTTCTTTCTCCCGTCTCCCAGAAAGAAAGAGAGTGAGAGGCTCTCTCCCTATAGATCTTTGCAAGTACCAGCGGCCTTGGACGGATTCTTAACTAGCACTGAAGTGAGGATTCAAAGGGAATGGGGGATAACTCTCTCTCTCTCTCTCTCTTAAGCAAAGGATCGAGAGGAGGGGAGAGAGGTTGTGAGACGGGAGTGCTTCCTCACAAGGAAGCCTAGCCCAGCTTGGCCTGCAGGCAAAAGGGCCCGATTTTCCAGGGAACTTGGCCGCTCCACCCGGATGCGTGTCCGGGGTCCCGAGATCGTGCGCAAAGCGAGTTCCTTTCGCAGTCTAGGCGAGGCTGCAGTCCAGCTGCGCCCGCCCGTCTCAGAGGGATTCCTCGAGAGTCAGGCTGCTCCAGCAGGCCCACGGCGAAGGCCAAGTCTAAGCGCGGCCCCCCTCCTCGTCCCAAATCCCAGATCTCTCTCTCTCCCTCTCTCTCCTGCCCGTCCCGTCGCGTCCCTTTCCCGCTTACCTCGGTCTCCGGCCGGGCCAGTCGGCGCGGGAGGCTAGTGAGAGGCAGACATGGACCAGGCTCCCTCCATGCGCCACACGGAGAAGGCGTAGCTGAGGCGCTCGTGGGCCACATAGCTGCAGCTGGCCATCTTGGAGTCGAGCTCGTCGCTCTGCAGGACCTGGTAGAGGAAGTCGATGTAGCGCGCGGCCAGCTTGAGCGTCTGGATCTTGCTCAGCTTGTCCGACGGCAGCGTCGGGATGATCTTGCGCAGCGCCGCGAACGCTTCGTTCAGCGACTGCGTGCGCTGCCGCTCGCGCACGTTGGCCATCACCCGCTGCGTCTGGAGCTCCTCGTAAGATTGCGGGCTGCCCCCTCCGCTGCTGCTCCCGCCTCCGCCGCCGCCGCTGCTCCCGCCGCCTCCGCCGGATTTCTTGCCCCGCTTGCCTTGCGCCGGGCTGCACGGCTCCTCGGTCGCCGAACCGATCCCCCCGCCGGCTCCTCCTCCTCCGCCTCCTGCGCCTCCGCCTCCTCCGCCGACCCCGGCGGCGCTCCTTCGGCTCGATCGCCTCTTGCGTCCCCCTCGCTTGCCGGAGCCCTGAAGCTGCTGCTGCTGCTGCCGGTCGGGCTCCTCCTCGCTGTTGCTCAGGCTGTCGTCGGCGGGCGAGACTGGAGAGTTCGACTCGTCCTGCTGCATCATCTCGGGGGCCAACCCGCAGCGCGCTGAGCAGCCCTTTTTAGGGGGCGAGGGAGGAGGGGAGAGGAGAGGGGGGAGGAGGAGAGGGTGCCTAGCCAGCCAGCTCCCCCTGGCTGGATCCTGGGCCTGCGGAAGAAAAGGAGGAGGACCAGGGTGTGGGTGGGTGGGGGCTTGGGGGAGGGCCTCAGTTGGGTGGGTGGGGGGAGGCCATCGGGAGCCGGGGGGAAAAAGAGAAAGAGTGAGAGAGAAAGAGAAAGAGAGAGGACGACGAGGACGGTGGAAATCTCCCTGGCGGTGTCAGCTCCCCTCCCGATGGCTCCTTGGAGCTGGCTGGGAGTTGGGCGAAAGTTGCAGCCAGGGACGCTCTTATAGCTCCTGCTGGCGGAAAGTTCGGGGGCAGCGGTGTCATTGGCTTGACGTGGAGAGGAGGGACTTTGCCGTGGTTGAGAGGAAAGTTTCCGCTTCCCCCCCGCACCCTCCCCTCCCAAACGGTTCCCAGACCGTTAGCCAGAGATCGAGTGGGGGAGCCCCCGCTTCCAAAAACCCCGGGTTCCCCTCGTTTGAAGTAGGTCTCGGAGCAGATTGCTCTCCGCCTTTCGGAAAAAGAGCTTTTGTTAAGTATAGCAAAAGAGAACCCCGATTCCCCCTCTGACGGCCTCCTAAGCTCAGCAAGCCGTTTCCTTCCGAGATTGCGCTTTTAAACACACTCCCTCAGCAAAGTGGTTTTTTGCTCAGATCAAAATAAATACCTTCGCATCCCACCCCGTTTCCTTGAAAGTAGGGCCCGTTGGCTTCCATAGGCTTGGCTTCCGAGACCCTCATTCGCATGTATATTTCAGCAGGTCTGGGATCGCTGCAGTCATTGGTTCGCAACTGCAATGAGCCTTCCAGATCAATGGGATGGGGATCAAATTGTGACCGCGGGGTGGGGGAGAATCCCCGCAACAATCCAGCTAAAGCAAATCGCCACCAGTCTCCTTTCCGCTCCGATCCCCAACGCATTTCATTGGAAGGGCTGCGATCCTAAAGGTAGGGGCAAGTTCTGGAAGTGAATCCCCGTGAAGAATCCACGGGACTTCCGGGTGAAGATGGCTAAGAGGGGGACCGGGGTTCTGCAGAGCTGGCGGATTCAAATTTTAAACCAGCTCCCAATCCGCAGTGCTTCTTACTTAAGCCTCTAATCCAGTTTCGCTCCGCAGTGCAATTAGCGTGTGAACTCAGCTGCCAGCCCCCCCCCCCACCGCTTTAGCGGGGAAGTGAAACCCTCAGATCATCAAGGGGCGACCTTGCATTCCAGTAGCCCGGCTTAAGGGCTCTGGGGATCGCTCCGGGAGGACGGCGGCTGTACCCTCCACCGCAGCACCTATGGCAGTTCGGGGAACTTGATCGCTTTGCGCCTCGCTCGGCGGTTTCCCCTCCTTAGTTGCGGCTTTTCGAGGCGAGGAGGTGAAATTGACAAGCGACCTGGAGAGGCTCCCTTTTCCTTAAGCGCTTCTGCGCCCGCTCAGCGCAGCCCGCCCAGGCAAAACATCTCTCTGCTTCTCGGGCAGTGGGTCAGCAAACCGCGGGGGGGAAAAAGGCTGTGTCCACAATACGAATCAGATCTGAAGCGAATCCTCTTCCGTGGGTTGCAGCAGTCCTGAGCTGGCTGGCTGGGAAGGGAACCCCGCTGGGACCGGCTTCCAAAGGCGGGAGGGCTCGTTTGGGACAGGCATGCCCGCTAATTTTCAGTAGATGCAACAATCCGGGGAAAGGTTAAAAAGGAGAAGAAAGATTCAGACCCGGTCACCTCACACCCACTTCCATCCCGAAGAACACAAACCTCGGCTGAGTTGAGACTCGTCGTCAAACTGGATTTAGAACTGGAGGTGTTGTGGCAATCCTCAGCGTCAACTGGGCATCAGATTCCCCAGCGGGCCAGGGGTTGAGGATTGCCCCAAGGAGAGCACCTAATCTGAAGGCCATTGGCTTAGAAAAGGAGCCATGTGGATCTGAATGGCTCCACATCCAGGGGGTTAGAATCGCCAAGGTGTTTGAGGGAAATGGAAGATGACACTGCTGGGCCCATTTTGAGGACATGTTATTTTCTGAAAGTAAAAGCGGTTCAGATGTATCTACTTGCTTGGCTGTCATAAACACACCACACATACCCTGATTTTCTCCCCAGTGAAATTCCATAGGCACATATTCCTAAAACAGCCTGTGTGGAAGCGAAGCCTTACACAGAAAGGAGTCGTTCTGAAATCTAGGAGATTTCTTATATCAAACTTTCTGTTTCCGTTTATTTTATTTTATTTGAAGGGAGGTGTCTTGTTGTTCTGGAGCATATTCGATTTTATATTGTCATTTGGCTATCTTCCTACCTGATTCTAGCATTCCCCTTCGCTTCCCCCATTTCAGAACAGGTGGTTTTCTTGCTTGGTTGTTTCCCCTTCCCCCCAAAAGTAAGTAAGTAAGTAAGCAGCCCATGGAGGGGAATGTACCTCCATAAAGTGAGTGGCAATAAATGCGGTTTTCTTTTTAATTTTTAAAAAAATCAGGTCACTTCAATACGAAAAGAGTTTGCATACAGTATTTCTAAAAGGTTTGTTGAGTCTCCATCTATCTCAAAAAATAAAAATAAAAAACAGAATCAAGATCTACAATATTTTCCCCCCTTTGCATTCTATTCCTCTAATTTTAAACAAAGGAAAAATAGTTTGCTGTCTATCTGAAAAAGATGTCCCAGCCCTTGTCCCTTTAAAAAATATTTTTATCTTATTTCATTTCCTAAAAATTCGGGATGTTTTGTTAACGGAGGCACAACTGGTAAGGCCCACGATATTTGGATGTGCGGAGAAAATGTGTCTCCATTGCAGAGAAACCTGAATCGAGTTCCCTGAGAACATCCTGCTTGTTTTTCCAAGACAGGGACCCTCTTGTTCTACAAGGACGGATGTGTGGAATCTCACCGTTAAGCGTGTAGAACTGAATGCAAAGCATGTGCCGCCCACCGCATTCCTTTTTGCAAATAACATAAAAAGCGTACAGGTGGGCCTTTCAAAGGCACCCTCCTAGCACCACCCTAGACGTAAGGAAACCCGCAGAGGCCTCACCTGTTCTGCAGTATACTCGTGTGGTTACCCGCAGGATTGATTTCCCGGCTGCTGATCGATCGCAGTCATTCCCAAAGGGCGGGAAGGGGGAAGAATGCTGTCTAGGGACTCCAGCGGACGTCCAGACGGGGAGACTGTTGGGCGCCTCGGACGCACAAGCCACGCCTACGCCACCCCTAAACTATTGAAAGGGGCCAAGCGCATTGCTGTCAATGGTGCGCGTGGAGGGCAGGTGTCAGGCGACTCTATTTATGTGGACCACTTTCTTGAATTAGGGTAATGAATGAGCGAATTACTGGAGGACATCTCAGGATGCGAGGATGGGAACCCCAGAAGAGGCGAGGAGAGGCTTCACCTGCACCTTGCAAAACGAAGACATCATCCTCACCTTGGTAAACAACTTCCCTTTTTCACACATGACATGGCATAGTAACATCTCCACAATCGGGAGAAACTGGCATGCGAGCGCTGCAACTGGAGAACAGCCTTTATCAAAGGTGTCGTAGACTTTGAAGACGATCGAACTCAGGATGTAAGGGAGAAGCGTGCTAAGAGGAAGACACGCTTGGCAAACCCTCACCTTAATCAACTCCCGCCCGGAAACATTTGTCCCCACTGTGGAAGGACGTGTGGATCCAGAATTGGCCTCCACAGTCACTTAAGGACTCACTGTTGAAACCGTGTTCATGGAAGACAATCTTACTAGGCTACTAGTGATCGACAAAGAAAGAAAAATACGCCCATTTTCTTCATTTGCTATCTTTTCGATCGTCTGTCACCCTGAACCCAAGCCTATGAAGAGACTCTTAAGACCTGGAAAAGATCTTGTAGTCCAACTCCGCTGTTCCATGTAGGGAAGCCAGAGCTAGGTGGCTGCGTGAAGTCCTCAAGCGAGGAAGAGCCCATCACTTCTCTAGGAAACTGGTTCCACTGTCAGACCTGAGGACAGGAAGTGAATCCCAATGTTCAGCCAAAACCTCCTGTAACTTACGCTCATTCCATCTAGCTACTACAGAGTTTCCCAAACTAGGGTATCCAGCTGTTGTTGGACTACAACTCCCATCACCCCTAGCTAGCAGGACCCAGTGGTCAGGGATGAGGGGAGTTGTAGTCCAACAACAGCTGGATACCCTAGTTTTGGGAAATCTGATCTAGTAGCTGGTTCTTTCCTCAGGGGTAGCCCGGATTAATGTCTCATTGGAACATTGGAAGGGTGCTAGCATTGCTCTTCCAGGCTTTCCTTCTACATGTCCAGTTCCTTGGACCTCACAAGTCAAAGTGAATGGTTTCCAATGCAACTGATTCTCTTTCTTTAAAGCTCGGTGAGCAGTATCCAGACCCCTCAAAGTGCTTGATTTTGGGATCCTTCAGCTCTTAAGAAGAAGGCCACATTGAAAAGGACTTTCTTGAGGGTAATTCAGGGGAGATCTTTGACCCAAGGATGGGTAACCTGTGGTTCTCCAGATGTTGCTGGATTCAGCTCCCGCCCCAAGAAGGGCCAATGATCAGGGCTAGTAGGAGCTGTTGTTCAGCAACATCTGCAGAGCCACATCCCTGGGCCAAAGATCTCCTCAACGGAGCCACTTCCAAAGTGGCCTTCTTAGGAGCTGAAGGATCCGAAAGCCAAGCACTTTGTGCGGTATGCAGGCTGCTCAAGCGAGCGGTATAGAAAGAGAAACAGCAGCATTGGAAACCGTCTCTTTTGGCCTGGGAGGTTTCCTGGGCAGCATTTGAAGGTCGGCGGATCAGAATTTCCGTGGTCCTCTGTGCTTTGCTTTTCAGAGTATGGAGGGGAAAGTAACATGTACGGTCTTTACGGTGAGGTGAAAAGGGTGGGAGGGGGAAGGGAGGAAAACAAAACGTTAGCCTATTCTGCGTATAGTCTATTCTATGTACGGCTATATAATTTGTAGTCTGCAACTGGTGACTTTGCTGGGCAGGCTTGGGTATTCAGTGCTATTCTGTAAAGCCACGGACTAGCGCCTTACTGCAGGCCACGCGTAGCAAAATCCCAAGCGTTGCTTTTCCTAGCAGCCTTTCTCAACCTGTGGGTCCCCAGATGTTGCTGAACTACAACTCCCATCACCCCTAGCTAGCAAGGCCAGAGCTCAGGGATGATGGGAGTTGTAGTCCAACAACATCTGGGGACCCACAGGTTGAGAACCGCTGGAAGGGGAAGGGTGGGCGGAGATGAAAGGATGTCTCTCAACCTCACCTCGCCCACCTTTCCTCCGCCCTAGGT